CACTCACACACACACACACACACACACACACACACACAGCAGACAGTAGAAGATGATTTGTGTTGTGTTTCTGATCGATCAGTGAATCTCTGAATCTGTTTTTCGTGACTGTAACAGCATTTATTGACTTGACTGAGCAGCAGTCAGAACAGCCGGTGTCTTTGTTTTAAGTGTGTTTTCTTTGGTCCCGTCAGGAACGGCGGCGGTCGCAGCGGGACGTTTTGTGCCATCAGTATCGTGAGTGAAATGCTGCGGCATCAGCGCTCGGTCGACGTGTTTAACGCCGTCAAAACCCTGCGGAACAACAAGCCCAACATGGTGGATCTGCTGGTACTGACTCACAGCTCACTGAGCCACACAGAGCAGAATATCTCCGTAACATCAGGATCAGTTCTGGACAAAACCTGCACTGTGCACAGAGTAGGGTTATTATAGTTAACTAAAACTAAAACCATTAAAAAACATTTGTGTTAGATTTTGTTACTTGATTTAAACAAAAAAAAAACTTTAACTGAAATGAAATAAAATATCAAAGTAAACTTATTTTATTTCAGAATATGATTTTCAATCAGTTTAACACTTTAAGAATTATAAAACTAAAAAATTATACAAAAAAATTATATAGACATTTAAAAAAGAAAGAAAAAAAAGACCAAATCAAATCCAATAAAATTTTTACTAAATAACTTGATGTACAAACTAAAATAAAAATGTATTAAAAACTATATAGACATAATAAAAAAAGAAGGAAAAATGAATGAAACGCACACAAAATAACATTGTAATTAAAGTTGATGAATCAAAATAACTAAAACTAAAACTGAAATAAAATTATAAAAATTATAATTATAAATAATAATAAAAAAAAACTATATATATATAAAATACAAAATTAATACGATTTTAACTAAATACATTGCTGTACCAAAATCATTCAAACTGGAATAAAAATGTATACAAACTAAACAGACATATTTTAAAATGAAAGAAAGAAACAAAGAAAGAAAAAATAATAAAAATGACAAAAACACATAAAAACATTATTATATTATTGATATGAAAATGAAAAAAAAGAGAACAAATTCAAAAATATTAACAAAAACTACTAAAATAACACTGGTTCAGAGTCATCAGTTCATCATCAAAATTCATAAAATAATTCTTCTAGCACTTCCTAATGTTATTTTATGTGGCATAATGACAAAACAGGCTTTCTGCTGGACATGCTGAATCCCTGTAGTGATGAGTGTTGTGTTTTCTGTGTGTCTTTCTGCAGGATCAGTACAAGTTCTGCTATGAAGTGGCGCTGGAGTATCTGAACTCAGGCTAACGGACCGACCATCCGTGTGTGTGTGTGTGTGTGTGTGTGTGAGTGTGTGTACAGTCGGCTTGTATATCTTCAAAATGAACCCTCATCCGTCTGGATGCATCAAGACTGTGAAGAGCAGATTCGACTCCTGCCTCTGATCCTGCTGCCGTTGGTTTTCCCTGACGCTTCGTCGTTAGAAAGTGTTTTGCGTTCGTTTCAGTCGGCGAAATGTCTGGATGATGTCTGCCATCCACTGAAGGAATTCACAAGATTAGTGCCGATTTGCTGGTTTTTACAGATTTGCTCGACGCAGCAGATCACTGACATCCTCATGAATACTATAATGAGCCTAATTTGCATATTAATGAGGCGAGTCTGCTGTGATTGGCTGAAATGCTCCTGCTGTATAAATGAGACGCGAGTGTATTTTTGGTGTAAATTGTATAACATATTAAATATAAGATATGGATGAATGACGTCACAGCCGTGATCATCATCATCGCGATCCAAAGCTTCTCATCGCTCGCTCTTTACGCATCTGTTCCTTTGGTTTTATTGTGTTTTTAATATTGTTTGTTTATGCTGTAAATATTGGAGGTGTGCTGTGATATTTATTCAGGACAATCATCTTGTACTGGTTCTTGAGTTCATATTGTACATGATCAAATATACTGAATGGATCAACAAGCGTCTGCCTGCTCATAACTCTAATATATCTATTTCTTTGTTTATGCATTTACTCTAATATATCTATTTCTTTCTAGTTTTTTGAGATCATGAACTTGTTTAACTGTCCGTGCGAAATCTTGCTAAATGTCCATGTAGAAAATCTCACACAGGTTTATAAAGTGAATTCAGCAATACTTTACGTGTAATGCGCTATATCTTTTCATAAGTAACTGTAACCAAAGTTAAAATGCATTATAATATTTGAAGGATTTTTTGCGGTGTTTTAATGCATTATACTTCCTAAAGGTGTAACAATGAATATATAATTATTATAATGCATTATAACTGTGATTACCATTATTCATGAGATCATACAATGCATTATAAGGCATAATTAATGCATTATATATAAAGGGTTACCATGAACCCATAACAATTGCATTTATATCAAAAATTACATTAAGGTCCCATTAGTTAACATTAGTTAATGCATTGACTAACAATGAACAATACATTTGTTACAGTATTTATTAATGTTAGTTAAGAATACAACTGTTCGATGCACTGCATATATATATATATATATATATATATAGTTTTGCTTTCCAGTACAAATATCTAAACATTTTTAAAGAAATATACATTTACATGCAAAATGACTTAAGATATTAAGTATTAATTTCTGAAAAATTTATTAAAATTAAGCAAAATTATTCTCAAAACAAGAACAAATATTTCCCAGTGGGGTCAGAAAAAGAATCTTGTTTTCCTTTTGAATTAAGTTTATTTTTCTGACCCCACTGCCAAAATAATTTTAATTCATTTATTTATTTATTTATTGTTTTAAAAATGTATCTTCTTGATTTAAGGATGTTTAGATATTTGTAGTGAAAAACAAGACGTTTTTGCAGTGTGTTCATATTAGCTCAACTCCATTAAATAATATTAACAGATGCAACATTTGATTTTAATAATGTATTAGTAAATGCTAAAAATCACATTAAGTAAGATTAATAAATCCTTTAGAATTATTTTAGTTAATAAATGGAACCGTATTGTAAAGTGTTACCCAAAACTTTATTAAATGACACAAGGCTTCAGTCAAAGATTTTCATCAGATGATTCAAAGACATGATTTTTAAATTGAAGTTACAGCAGTTTGAAACTGGGAATAATAAAAGGGTTCAATCATACAGTTTAAAGGGTTGATGAGATTGTCATCATTTACTCACCATCATGTGGACAAGATTCTGAATGAAAATTTAGAGGAACGTTTTTACACAATGAAATTGAATGTGGATAAATGCATCAAATAATTGCATCATAACAGTAGTTCTACATCTTCTGAAGCCACATGAGAGTTCTGCGTGAGGAACAGACACACATTTAACTGAAGAAGATTCACTCAAAATGACTTTTGTGTGACTCAGAAGAGCATGAGTCAAGTGAACTGCTGTGATGACGCTTTATTGTCAGACAGTGATCACTGTAACACACTAGTAACATCATGAGGGTGAGTAAACCTACACTCTAAAAAATGCTGGGTTAAATACAACCCAGTGCTGGGTAAAATAGGGACAAACCCAGCAA